AAGAAACAATTTGTGTCTCGATGCTTACTCCGTCGTTTTCCGCGTGACATTCCGCGTGGTATTCCGCAATCTCTCCGCCAATATTTGTCTCACGGTGATACACGCATGACTGCTCTTCGACCATATCTCAGACGATGACCTTAAAAATGTCCGCTGCCGGTTTGTCCCAAATCTAACAGCGCATCTCGAAGCTCGTGCATTTAAAAGCGATTCTATTGGCCGTGTAATTTCCTCGCCCCGGGGAAACGTAGTGAGAAAGTTCCCTCCTACTTCTGCAAATTAATTTCTCACACTTGTGAGCATCATTATTATTATCAGAGAGCCACGTGCAGCAGTCGGCCGCAGTGATTCAGGGCGATTTCGTGGCTCGTGTTTGCGGACGGCGACAATCGGCGTAAATCGCGAAACACCGCTCAGACGAACGGGCTCGATCGAGCGTATATTAGTTTCGCCGCCGAGAGAGAGAGAGAGAGAGAAAGAGAGAGAGAGCTCATATGCGCCCACGGCGTCGCGCCTATTAGCGCCTAATGAGCAAAACCGCCCTGGTCACGCTTTGGAAACACACATACACACTTGCGCGCGAGGGCGAGTCGGGAAAGTGCGATCGCAGTTGACCGGAGGGCCCCCGCGCGTAGGACTCGCGCTGCCTCGTAAAGTAACGAAATGTCGAAGCGGTAATGCCGACCATAATTCGCGACGAGTTACGAAGCGAACGCGGTCTCGCGCATTGGGTCGCGTCGCCGTGCGCCTCGGAACGGCATAATTGGTATATAAAGTAGAAATTAAGTTGGTAGTCGCGCAGCGAGTGAAACTCGCCGAGCGCCGAGGAGGAGGCACTCGCGGAAAGGAGGCGCGCGAGAGAGCCGCCGCGCGGAACCATATCGGGGTTATTGCCTTGTATTTTCGTCGTTGGGCGCGCGCGCGTGTTTTCCGCGCGGCGTGGCGCATTGAAATTACGACACTATAAAGTCCGCAGGCGGTCGATGATAAAACCGCGAAAAATACGGCCGAGTGTGTGTACGCACCTTCGATAATAGCGACAGTGTTAATAAGCGCCGGGAGAAATATCGGTGGCGATTATCGGATGCGCGAATAAGGCGCGGCCGAAATGAGCGCGCGGGGATACGGGCGGGTAAGTGATAACTTTTGCGGAACGCTCGGGCCGCCCTACTTCGAGATTGATTCCAGTTTTTAAGTGATTCCGCAGTCGGCGTTAAGGAACTGCGCTCGCAGAAACGAACCGGTGCTTCATTTTCCTCCCCCCCCCCTTTCCTTTTATTACGCAAATCGAGTAATCCGGAATATATGTAACACGCGTCGGAACCTTCTCTGTACGTTCCGACCGCTCGATGAGATTTTGGGAAGAAGATCGGATCTTCATACCCGACTAGAAATTTTGATCAGGTTCACCTAACATTGATAAGGACCTAATAGGATGAATGAAAGGTAATTCTAAGTAAGTCAGTCCTTATAATGTCCTAACGACAAATGAGTAAGGAAGACTTTTATAAGATTATAATGATTAGGTCCACATTAGGACCTTAATGTACCAACCTAGTGTATGATATAATATGGTTCAGTTGATCAGGTCCTTGTCGGGATCTTATTCATTGTACCTAATATGATTTGCATTATCAAGTTTTAACGAAACAATTTTTGGGTTTTTGGGCAAATTTCCAAATATAAAGATGTTTGCATTGAAAAAACACTTCAGATCACTCGAATATATTTGTAAAATGCTATAGAAACTATCCTTTCTTTAGCAGTCAATGAATAGTTGTAAAATTAACGTGACATGCAACTTTTCTCTTTAACACTACTTTATGTCTTGTCACCTTGTGATACTTGATGATCTTATGATATTTTACATTTTATGTTTCTTTTCCGAAACATTTTACAAGTATGCTCAAGCGATCTAAAATATTATTTCATGCAAATATCTTTTTATTTGGAAATGACATGAAAGAATTTTCAGCGTGTCATTTCTTATTTCTAATGTCATCACCCAATATAGCCGTGGCGAGTAATCAAGAGACATAATTTGAAAAAAAAACGTATAATAAGGATTCCATGGAGGTAACTCAATAAGGACTTGACTGTGAATCCTTACTAAGGTCCACGTTGCGTTACATACATGACTTACTAGGACCGATAGTATTACCTTATTGGGACCTGATGTCCAAATGAGGTTAACTTGATCAGGACTATGAGAGAAATTTCTAGTCGGCTAGTCCCCGCGATATGACAACTATTCCCACTTTTCTCTTTATTCTCTTGTCACTTGAGAAAGTCGTCCAATTTCATTGAATTCGGATCTCGTTTGGAAATGTGCGAAAATGATATCCGTCTTTACGCACGATAACTGCTATGAAACTTTATTCCGCATTCACGGAGCATTGAAAATCGAAGTCGCTGAAGAAATTACGCCTTCTCCGATTGCCGGCTGCTCCGATCGCCTCGAGTCCAATCTTCTCTTCGGGGAACTGCATTCACGCGCGATCCAAAAGACGCAAAGTCGACTAGAGAGAACGAGAGAGAGAGAGAGAGAGAGAGAGAGAGAGAGAGAGAGAGAGAGAGAGAGAGAGAGAGAGAGAGAGAGAGAGAGAGAGAGAGAGAGAGAGAGAGAGAGAGAGAGAGAGAGAGAGAGAGAGAGAGAGAGAGAGAGAGAGAGAGAGAGAGAGAGTGTGAGAGGAGGAGAAACGTCGAGGCTGCAACACCCTCGTAAAGTAACGAAGCGTCGAAGCGCCGTAACGCGCCGCATAATTTTCGATGAGTTACGAGACACGCGCCCGCGTGCCGCGCCGTTGCGGTTCGTAGCGCTGCAATTGGCATATAAAGTAGAAATTAATATAGCGACGGACGCGCGCGCGCGCGCCAATTCCAGTGATATTCCGAAAAAAATTCGCATCTGCCGGCCGGAGGGCGAGAGGAGGGCCGAGAAAAAAAGAGGGACAACACCGCGTGCGCTGTTATTACCTTCGAGACCGAATCGCCTGCCTCGAGCGAGCGCGAGCACGCGGGAGAGAAGGGAACGGAGGAGAGGGGCGCATAAATATCCTTACCGGTATCTCCGTAGTAATTAGCGCCGTTATCGAGGCGCTTGAATGTGAAAAGCTCGCTGGAATGAAGACGTCTGCCTGGTAATCGTCAGCGCGCGCGAGTCTCGTAATTGTAGCAGCGAGCGTTCGAACGTGAGTAGAACGTGAGTGGAAAACTCAGCTGCTAACAAGTAGACGGATAAAGAGGACTCGGGGCTCGCGCTCGCTTCGATTCTCCGTCGCCGGACTGTATCCTTAATTACCCATGCCGCGTTGTATTTGAAGATTAATGCGTGTAATGCGAGAGTGAGCGCCGCGGGTAATTTCCGCGCGGCGTCTCCGCGTATATCGACGAGGCGATCTGTATTTCGAGTTATCCCCGAGTCTCTCCTCTCTCCGGCCGAGGAGAAATTCCCCGCTGGATTTTTTCTCTCTCCGTAAATCAAGATACCTCTGCAGCTCTGCGAGCTATTTTCTCCCCCTCCCCACGTCTTACCTTGCGGCGGTGTTCCCTCCGCAGGCGAGAGGGCTTCTCTCTCCCGCGGCCTTCCGGCGATTGCGATCTCGTAACGATGTATTTCGGGGTCACTCCGTGTCGCTGAGCTTGACAAATTAGCGTCCTAACGAGAGGCTTCCGTCAGGATCTCATCCGTCTGGATTTCTCTCTTTTCGGCCCCGCGACAGTCGTGCATTCTAATGATGCGCCGCGCCATGCCAGCCGCAAACTCACCGAGAAAAGGAGCGCGGCTTTTCCGCGCGAGCTCTCGATCGTCGATCTTTCGACCGCGCGCACCGCGGCTCGTCGGCACACGTGGGTCTCGCCTCGGAAGAGACGCCTCGCCCACGGCGACCGGGCGAAAGGATAACCATTTGGCATGTCGCCGGAGGACAGCCGTCGTGCGCCGATCGCGCGCGCCGATAACTATGATACCTGAGCCTGACTGAGCACCGCTCGCGATTTCTCGTTCGGCCGAAACCGAGAGCTAATCACGGCGCTCGCCGTGCACTCAGATTTCCGTAGATCATGCGTTAGGTTAGGTAACACTCGTTACGTCCGGCGAGGAATTACACACACCGCGATATCGAGCGTTACCGAGCTTCACCGAGTCGGGGAGAGATGTCGAGAAAACGGGAGAGACGGCTGCTCCTATCGTACTCGCCTCGGATCGAACACGTGCCACGTGAAAATCGTCTTAGGATTATGTTATAATAGTTACCGACGTTTTCTCCCCCCCTCCCCTCCCCCTCCTTCCTCTCACTCTCCGTCACGGAGCGTGAGTCTACCTGCCGTTGGACGCGTTGTACATGGAAGGGCGCTCTTGGGAGACCACGCTTCCTTTTTTTATGCACCACGCAGGAGTAATCAAATTTCAAGGGACAGCTTGATGTTCGATGGTCTCTCCCCTCTTTCCCCGGCTGCCTTCCTCCCACGCGTTAGGCCGTGGTCATACGTAGACAATGATCCCACATCCATCTATTAAGAAAAATGAGAAAAAAGACCGACCGGCCGATCTCGCACGTACCAAAACTCATGTGGGTGTATCCCTTGCCGAGGCGCGTAGGGAGTCTCGTATTACCTGTCCCTTTGTATGCGCATGTAAATGTCTACCGTCAATGGCGCAGAATCGGCAGGCGGAAAGGGAGAAAGCGGGAGGAGCGGCGTGTGCCACCTCGTGATCTCACGTTGTTGACTTTCGTTTTTCCACGCTCGCGGTATGCTCGCGAAATGCGCATTTTTTCCAGCTAGGCTATAGTTCGCAACTTCCCGTGGCTCGCGCGGCGTGTGTTTGTCCAATTAGGAAGGGACGCGCGAGGAGGGCGCGATCCCATTCTCGGATTTTATTCCGCGCTGTTTTTGGAGAATAAAAGCCGGTTGTGCGGGAAACAAAGTCGTGAAAATTGCACCGCGACGGAAGAGCACGGCTTGACTTTACGACCGCATGCGAGGGATAATAAACGCGATGTTTTTACATACTTTTAATGATTTCCACAACCCCACGGGAGATAAACTCCGCAAATACAATAATAACAACAAATGTCGCGAGCTTGTGCGAAATTAGGTCAAATCACGCACTGGAGAGGAGCACATAGAAATTATAGAAGTAATACTCTTCCCCTCCCATTTCTTCGTCTTATCGCTTCTTCGTCTTATCGCAAGTGCGCGACGGCACTTGCGATCGCATAAAGGCGATAATAGAGAGAAACGGGATTTTTGCACGTCGCGGCAGGCGCTGAAGAGCGTGCGCTTCGACGCCACTGCACGCTCTATACATCGCGTTTGTATTCTATATACGTGTATACATCGCTGTATGTGCATCGAAATGCATCGCTCCCATGGCCCGCTTAAAGTTTCGTAGTCGTATATCGTAACAAATGATTCTTTATTGGCCGAGCCTCCTGCCTGTGAAAATTTATGCCCGTTTCTCACCTCCTCTTCGTCTGCTTTCCTCGCGCGTCTCGCGCGATTCGATTCGCGGTCCTTCGACACGCTATGTATCTCAAATTAAATAACGATTAAATAACTACGTTACGTTAAACGACGCACACAATCGATAACTACGAATAATGCAGGAATATTGCCGAAGAATAAATAGCCACACGACTACGTTGTTACATTGTTAGTCAACGTTAAGAGCGGCGCGAATGGCGAGACTTAATACCGATCGAGAAAAAGAACTTTATTCGCGTTGTCAGATAAGCCGATAATCCGTCGCGCGGCCATATATATTTTAACCGAGAATTTACATTTGCAGTTCGGAACGTCACGCTGGACCGTAATTAAAAAGTTCGCCGTGCTCTCTTTGTCGATTTGCGTAACGCGATAATTGTGCGGCTTTCGCCGCGTAACTCGTTTCACAGTCATCCGATAACGCGGGATAACGATGTTGCGAGCTCGCGCGATCGAAATTCGTCGAATATATCTCGCCGCAATTATGTCTTTCTAATCTGTAAATAGTAACGGGGGGGGGGAGACGGAGCAAAAAAGGCATACTCGTTCGATATTTTGTTGACTATCAACGAACGAGAATTCAATGAATTCTACGCATCATCGTTAAATAAGCTCATCGTTAAATAAGCTCTTCGCAATCAGCAGGATAATTAACGCGGATTTTGCCTCATCTTTCGTCCCGTCGTCTCTCTCTCTCTCTCTCTCTCTCTTTAATCTTAATCTATATCTTAACGCGAGGTCTTCTTACGACGTCCGTTGCGCGTTATCTCAACAATCGTCGGGCTTGGCACCTGATGTCGCGAAGTCCAGTTTCCAGCAAGTCGTCTGCATACTTTTTGTCCGCGGATTGTAAGCGGTCTCGTTGTGGTAAAGCATATTTCCCTCGTACCATTCCACGATGTCGCGCACAAACGGTTCTCCGTCCGGTGTATGACCGGATGTGATCGACCTTGATACGCCGTTTCCATTATTAACGAGTATCGTGTTGCCGGTGTTACTTATTAAGCGTCCGTGTTCATCTGCGAAAAAATTTCCATGTAATGTGCCAATAACATCGCTCGCTACACTGATTGCGAGCAGCTGTGCAAATATCGCGCGCGCTTAGCGACAACGTCGAATCACACTCCGTTTATCCGTGGACGGATAAACATGTCACAATGGCGAAAGCGCGCCGCGTGCTAGTCTCGCGCGGCAGCTCGGCAAATTTTGACACTTCCTTTCGATACCAATCGCGCGATTTAATTCGATGCAGCAGGCGTGACTCGGAGGCGCCCGGCGCATACTAATCGCTCACGAATTACAATGTCATCGGCTGTCCGGCTTTGATCCGGCTTGTATAGAACGCGCGCGCGAGAACCGATTTTTATTGATACTAATCGCCGATAATGCGATTCGATACGCGCACGAGGCGCGTATTAACCGCGCGCTAATCGCATGGGTAAACGTTCCCGCGCGAAATCGCACGTCAGTATCGAATTAACGGGACGATGGAGTGGAAAAAGGTCGCCTTGAGACCCGGGAGAACGCGCGTGTGCGTCTGTTACGTATCTTGGCCGACAGTGAAAGGAACGTCGAGAGCGCGCGGGAAAACGATGCAATTTTGGAATTTACGCGCCTCCCTCCCCGCCTCATTCGCTCGCTCGCTCGCTCGCTTCGACCTGTTTATCTCTAACGATAAAGAATATCGGCTAGAACTGTTATTATGCAAATGTATCGATCGCTCTTCCGTCTACGACGCGAGATAGACCGCGTGTTTGCGTAATAAACCTTCGATCCTATCGCCGGCTGGGAGTCGGGGGAGACGGAGAAATAAACGCGCCCGCGTATCCGTATCCGGGAATGCTGAAAGGACGCGTAATATTTTTCGAAACTACGACACCGCGTCTAGATGTTGTTGGTAAATTATTGGATAAATATATAGAAAAGGGTACACTTCACCGATTTTTTTCATTTTAAAATATGTTATAAAGGATGAGATTCTGAGTGACTTTTCCTAATAGAATTATATGAGGGTCGCTTATAGTTTCTGAGATATTTGATTTGTAAGTTTTGGAATTTTGATTATCCTGGAATTAAATTCCAGATATCATAAGCTGACGTTATTTACAGTACAATCCAAACAGTTAATCCAAATACATGGTTTATACATAGAAATATAGGATTTACAGTATATATAAGTGGGAGAGTGGCTCCGCCCCTCCCCCGCACCCCCTCCCTAAAAAAATCCTAACCTAACCAAACTTATTGCATCTTTATATATTGTTGGGCGATGTTGAAAAGATCTCCTTAAGAGCTGCAACACCTAATTATATGCAGATATTATAATAAGTTAAGTTGAACCAGGTGATAGATCTTAAGAGAACTTTTTTCTCAACAATGTCCAAAAAGATGCAATAAGTTAGGTTAGGTTAGGTTAGGTTAGGATTTGATTGCGGAGGGGGTGTGCTTGTATGTACTGTTTCCTAGAATTTAAAGTGAATGAAAACTGCTTGTCTACCTCAAATATACTTCAACGTACATATATTATAAAACTTTAAAGTCAAATATCTCAGAAAGTATAAGCGACCTCCATATAATTGTATTGGGAGAAGTCACTCAGAATTTCATCCTTTATAACATATTTCAAAGTGACAAAAAACCCTTTTCTATATATTTACCAATTATTGTTAATGCGATGCCGACAATGACGCGAGGGACGTGCCGTGTGTGACGAAGAGTCGAGGGAGAAAGTCGTAACGAATGTGACGAATTACCTCTCGGTAGATTCTGTACGGTTCTTCTCACTTGCTCTAACGCAGGTTTCACTGAACTGTATATGCTCTGTCTCGCGTCATTGTGCGCTTGCTGAACGATACGTTGCACCTGCTCGTCAATACCTCTGGTCATAGCTTGAATACTTTCTTGCAAATCTGTCGTCCAATCGGCGCACATCCCGTGAAACGTGCTGCAACATAATCGTCGCGATTATGTAAAATAGGGGGATCGCGCGTTTTACTTACTATTTGCTCGGGCGTGTGTACGCAACCGCGGCAGACAATGGCGTGCGCACCTATGTAACGCGATGATTCATGCTCATCCGCGGACAAAAGCGCGCACAATGCCGCGGCAGCGCGACGGTTGAATGTTATTATTTGCAGAATCGCATTATCACCGCACTGCACACACCGCGCACCGCCATGCATTTAGCGCCGTGCCCGAACTTGCTCAGCGACCGTCCGTTTCGCTCGGATGAAAGGGACTTTATACGCGACCTTCGTCGCGAGACAAGTACAGCTTAGAATTAGACGTGCCATATCCCCTCTCATCTCTATTCGCGACATCCCGACCGAACTGAATACGACTATTGAGCGTAGCCTGAAACGAAGGCGAAATAAGACGTCTGCCGTCTGACGTGGACTGACCTGATGAACAGCGCGCCGATCAGCACAATGTGGCCGATTCTCCTTCTGGTCATTCTCGTCCGGTTAGTCTCGGGCGTTCTCCTTCGGGCCTTCGTTTCCGCGGCAGCTCCGCGAGAAAAACGATGCGGGAGACAAAGTGGAGTTGCGCTTTTCCGCAGCTGTCGCAGACTGAGAAATCCGGTTGGGTCGTGGTACGCCACAGGTAGGCAGGCGGGGTATCTCGCGCTTCGACTATCGGCGAGACGTATTGCACCGCTAGCCGCTAGCGCTCGCTCTGTCGTATCCCGCGGTTTCGCTGTACTTATATACACAGATATCCGTGGGCACGACGTTATCGGAGTTGCTGCAATTGTGCACGCCTTCTCGCGTCGCAATAACAACGGCTGCCTTCGGAGAGAGGGACGGAGAGAGGGACGGAGAGAGAGAGAGAGAGAGAGAGAGAGAGAGAGAGAGAGAGAGAGCCGTCTCGCGGAATCGCCGGATCACGTCATAGGTGAGCCGGTGCCGATGATACAGGACGAAGGAGAGACGCGAGGAAAGGAACCTTGACGGGAAAGTGTCGAGTTTCTTTCGAACTTCGCCGCGTTCGCGGGGGTGCTGTTCTGCATATCGATATCTCTGCTATGACGACTATCGTTTTGGTACGATAGCGACGGAAATAAGTGTAGGCTATTTTGAACATCATTGATAGCGATAAATGTTATATCGCTTGCAACAATATGCATATACAGAGTGATCCGAAATTCCCGCATCCGGAGCATGCGAGACATGATGTTTTACGCTAAAATAAACAACTTTTTCCTTCAGCAAAATTGCATTCGACAAGTAGTTTTTGCAGAAGAACGTGATAAAGTTAACGAATAAGTGGTCTTATCTATGTAGCGCTCAAAATCGGCTCGCGTGTATCTACACGCGAGCCGATTTTCGTACTAATAACCACTTATTCGTTAACTTTATCACGTTCTTCTGCAAAAACTATCGGGTGAGTGCAAAAGTTCGTGCGGAGTTTGTGAGTAAAAGTCACACAGTGATTAGGCAAACAAAAATCTTTATTCAATCAATGATATATTCTCCATCGTTTTCTATAATCTTTTCCCAACGTTCTGGCAGCATACGGATGCCTCGATCATAAAAACTGCGCGGTTTAGATTCGAAGAACGAAGAGACGCCGTTTTTTAAGGCCTCCAAAGAGTCAAAGTTTTTTCCATTTAAATAATTTTGCAATGACCGGAACAAGTGATAGTCAGATGGTGCGATATCAGGAGAATACGGTGGATGCGTTAAGACATCCCATTTCAGGCTCTTCAGTTTGCGCAGCGTCTTTTTCGAAACGTGTGGTCTGGCGTTGTCGTGATGAAAGACGACTGCCTTGCGATTTGACAAAATCGGACGTTCTTCTTTTATTTCTCGATTCAGATTGGTTAATTGGCGACAGTACTTGTCCGAATCAATCGTTTCGCCAGCGGGGAGAAGCTCGAAATAGATTATGCCCTTGCAATCCCACCAAACAGAGAGCATCACCTTCATCGGGTGCAAACTGGCCTTTGGCATTGCGTCACCATGCTCACCTGATTGTTTCCATGTCCGTTTGCGCTGAACATTGTTGTAGAGGACCCATTTCTCATCGCCCGTTACTAGTCGATCCAAAAACGACTCGTTATTGAGCCGCCCGAGTAAAGAAACGGCTGCAGAAATTCGCTTGATTTTGTTCTTCTCGGTCAGCAAATGGGGCACCCATATATCGAGCCTCAAATCGAATCCCATCTTTTTTAAACGCCGAAAAGCGGTTGATCGGTCAACGTTTAGTGCTGTAGCAACTTCTTCTGTTGAAATTCGCGGATTATTGAGCACTAAAGTACGCAAAACATCGTCATCAATGTCAGAAGGTCGACCAGAGCGTGGCTCGTCTTCAAGGTTAAATTCTCCGCGCCGAAATTTAGCAAACCATTTTTCCACAGTTCGTTTAGCTGGTGCTTCATCCTGATAAACATCCTGAATGTTTTTTACGGCTGCGGCAACGTTTATTCCCTTCCGAAACTCGTAAAGCATAACATGCCGTAAATGCATCTTATCGATACTCATTTTTAAAGTGATATTTCTCGAAGCAGTTTGTATGAAAACAAATGATTTTTTTTTTAATAACAGCTGAAGACGTCACCTTTCCAACGTTATATAATATGTAGTATTAATGACGGAAGTATTAATGACAACACTTTACGACGCTTATAACTCCATCTATTGAAACTCCGCACGAACTTTTGCACTCACCCAATACTTGTCGAATGCAATTTTGCTGAAGGAAAAAGTTGTTTATTTTAGCATAAAATATCACGTCCTGTACTCTGAATGCGAGAATTTCGGATCACCCTGTATATCATCGATGAAGTCATCGGTATGACTCAAAAGTTCAAAAGTTAGAAAGGATATTTCTCAGCCAGTAGCATTAAAGATTTATAGGAAAACATTCAACGCTCGTGTATGTGAGTAAGAGTGCGAAAACTCTCGAGCAGAGATTATCAAGTGACCTGCAGTTGGCTAGCGAATATTGAATATCTCTCCAGCCTCTTCAGCCATCATAAAAACTTGAAGAAAACCTGAACATTGAAAATGTCTTCAAAATATGTCGCGACACGCCGTTTTCGTCATCTAAGGCGTGTCACGTTGAATTTAATGATGATTGTCGTTCATGGACGACAAATATCGTTATAAATTTGTTATTAGACGACCGACACCGACAATTGTCGGTACGTGTGAACAGAATAGCGCCCAGTGGTGCGATTCTTTAACTCGTTACTGGACTGGTTAACGACAGTTTCGTTATTGTTGCGCAGCTTTTCTACGGTACAAAATACAAAAGCTGCGCAACGATAACGAAAGTGTCGTTAACTCCAATAACGAGTTACAGAATCGCGAGATACAGGACGCGTCGGATGAGAGATTTATCGAGATGGCTCTTTTGGGAGCGTTATAATTCCGAGGGCCGATCGACTTCGCAGCCGCGGCCGTTTGATATACGAGAGCTCTCGTTCTCCTCGTTCCTTGCTTGATACGCCAACTTTTCCGACCGGCGAATCACACGCGTACACGTACGCGCGCGAGCGCGTATTGTATTACAAGAAGTGTTACGTGCGCCGCGCCGGCTGTGCGGTAAGTCGCGACTTGATAACTAACTGCTACGACGACGAAGATTGGGTTCTACAGTGAGACATTTATCATCGCACTGAGAGAAGGAAGAAGTAAAAAATTAGGGAAATATTTCTTCGATGACCGATTTATACTGGCATACACATTTCTGCATCATGAGACATTCTTTCCAAATAAGAAAATATGTCGCGCACCTTGATGAAGTTTTGCAGCGAAAGCAAAACTGTTGATTTCATTTATTTAACTTAAAGAATTTAGACTCAAGTAAATGCAAGTATTAGCAACTACCGGATAAATGTGCTTTATATATTTCTTTTCTCTCTCTCTCTCTCTCTCTCTCTCTCTCTCTCTCTCTCTCTCTCTCGGTGAATTTTTTTAAGTGATTCATTCAGGGAGGGAAGATAAAAATACCGAGACGATTAGATCCAACTTATTGACTAAGTTCTTGTTATATCGCGTGGATGGTCAAATGATTTTTGATTACAATTATCTGCCAACTTTTCTTTGCTATCAATTGAGTGTAACATTCGCATTGTCTAAAAACGACACGGGATCGTATTCGCGCGCTCAGATGTAATCTGCGGAGTTCGCAGTCGTCGAAATGATACCGGTTCGAAAAGCTCGGTCTGAATCATCGTCGGATCGTTACACGGTGTCTCTTTTTGATCGTCTTACACGCTCGCTGCGCGCCCTAATCGTTCTAAACAGCGCGAGGTAACGAGATGCGCGTCGCGAAGCCGATTAAGGATGAACGTAAGAGGATCGGGAGACCAGCTAGAGCGTCGTGAGAAAAAACACGGGCGATTTATTTCGGATGGACGTCAGCCTTTTCGCTCGCCGCGATGACGCGCGCGCGCGCGCGCGTTCTCTCCCGGAGGAGAAGAATATTTTTATCGCACCTCATTGCGTTCTCGGCTATTTATACGCGCGACCGAAAGCGTTTAGCGAAATAATGGCCGCGGAAATGGCCGGTCGAAATGAAAAAAGGATACGCGAGGCTGCGCGCACAGATAAATCATGTCCGGCGGTTCGCAAGAGATAATCTGTTTATGCAACGTGCGCGTTTAATAGCGTCGACACTAATTCCGTCATCGACTGATCGGTTCCATAGACGGCTGCGATACAAAGTGCGCGCTTGAACCATTACTCTTGCAAAGTGATGGGCCTAATGGATCTTTTTGATTTAATTTTTGCGCGCACTCCCGGCGTGACGAGGACTCTCGAGATTGCAGCATGCACGATCATTCCGCAGCATCATACGAGATTTGTTTTTAGCCCCACTAATATAGACTAGACGCGAAACACGCCAAATCGCGCGAAAATCATTCCCATGACCGGCGATCGAGCTCCCTCTCCGAGCAGTCTCTCGACTCGTTCATCCACCACCATCGGCATTTTTACTACTCGTGGCCTCGTTACTACGCGGATACGCGTGCATTATCGCTTCTTGCAGCCCGCATTGTGTCTCGCGACGCGAGGAAAACGCGTCCTCCTGCTGCTTCATTTGTAACATTAAAGCAATTAGCCGTCGTCGCGAATACCCCAACGAGGCAATGGCAGTCCACGAGTAGACACGGGACCTAAAACTAGGACGCGTTTCGGCGTTTCGCCGATTCGGCGAAGAGCCTACGAGACGAGCCTTTGTTCGGGGATCTCAAGTCGGCGCCGTAACCGTCCTGATCCGATTTCACGTCCGGACTATGTTCGGCAAAGTACCGAAAACGCGCTAGCATATACCGGTTTCCATCACCCACCGTTCTCGGCCTTGCGGACGCGGCCTTCCCTGTAATTATTTCCCTCTCCCTCCCCCCCCCCCTCTCTCTCTCTCTCTCTCTCTCTCTCTCTCTTTCTCGCTCGAGCGCTCGTCTTGCTTTTTCTTTTGTCGCTCCTCCCCGAGCCTCAAGCGGACATTATCCGCATCGCGCGCGAGGCCTAATAGATTCAAGGATGCTCCGTCGAAGAGCTCTAGCAGATATTAATCTTCATTACGAGGCTGTCCCCATGGCGCGCGCGATATGTTGGTGAATCGGCCATAAAAGTCAGCTAATGATTTTGCATTCTGCCGCGGCCGCTGGCCGCGTTACCGCCGCTCGAATTGCACGCGACGTCGCCGTGCGCGAGCAACGTCCTTTCTCCACGATCGCAGTCGCTCGGGGAAAAATGCTCAGCCGGAGTCGTGCATAATTGCGAACGCCGCGACTCGTTATTACCGTCGTCAATCGGCTGCGTGCGATTGTTATCAGAACGGGAGATCCGGTGAAATCATCGGAGATCGGCGCGGTGAAATCATCGTCGGCGAGCGCGCGTGTCCTCGCGCGTCGTCCTAGCGCGCATACGCGCATACGCGTTCTGCGGCGACGTTCGTTACGCGGCCGTGTCGGAACGGAATACGCTTCAGCGATAAGAGGGCACTGGTAAGGTGACTGGTCCCTCTGCTGCGAGGGACGCTGCTTAATACGAGGAGCGCGATAATGGCCGGCCGGGATTTCTTCCGAGCGGAGCGGAGAGGAGCGCCACGTGAGAGCGGGCTTGGAGAGATAATCGCACCTGTGCAACGCGCTCCGTTTCGCCTGCTAATTGTTCGCCACCGGCCCGTTCGTTTGGCCCACGCCCTTTCTTCTTCGCGTTGCATCTCTTGCGTAACGGGGCCTCGCGTCGGCGCGGGGAGCAATTAAGTCAGATATATCAACTCGCTCAAGTGCACAGAGCGCATCGCGGGAAGCTCTCAAGGGTACCTCGAGATGGAATTTCGAAACTGTATGTCGATATTGCAGAGACGGTTGTTCAATGACGTTATGCTAAGTGCAAAAGTGACTAACACAATGTACCATCATCTCGCATCACCTACCACACGCTACACCCTTAACAGATCGCAATATTATCGCGGATGTAAATGCGTGTTGCTTTGTTTCGTGTTTAGCGGGAAATTCCAGAGTTCACTCATCGTAGAAATCTTTCTGCAAATTCCTTCATACTATTCTGAGCTGCTGAATTCCGCTCTCAAGGTACAACAAAGTTCCTCGGAACTTTTCTCAGTGGAACAAGCGCACGTCCGGTACGTTGCGAGCTGCAAAACTTTTACAGCGGGCAAACGGTTTACGCTCATTTTTAAGCTTAATTAAAAGAGAGGAGAAACTCGGAATATCAACCTGGGCATTTTTTTATTATTTTCGTAAAATATATATCGAGCGACGCTCCGATTCGCATTTTTCGCATGTACTTTTTCGCGCCGGTTTTTTCCTCCAAACGTCGCTCTTTCAAATTGACTGTTTTCTGCACTCGATTTTCGTCGACAAATCGATCCTCTCAACGGAGAATCGAGTTTCGATCGAGTTGATGTACTTATTAATCAATATTGTTTCGTTTAATGAAGAATTCAAGCCAACGTTTGAAAGGATCATTTGTGCGGAAATCGAGCAGAAGAGAGTCGATTTTTAGAAGAAAAGATCAATCCTCCGAAAGTTGAATCGAGATCGTCCGTCATTATCGCACGTACCTCTGACCCCCTCTTCCTCTTCTTTGAAACTTTCTCTATCGAGATCGAATGTTTATTCGTCGAATTTTGCGTCGAGTTGTTTGTTTACACCTCGGCGAGCGCTCTCACCCAGGCGAGCGCGTCTCGGCACAGTTGTACAGTTCCACTCCTCGGGTAATGTGAAGGTTTTACGCGTATCAACGACTCGTTAGCCACTTCTCACGATCATCGCCGCTTGCGGAATTATGAACCTCACCGATACAACGCGAACAATGACCCCGCATTGTTCGAGTGACGCTTGATAAGACATTTCAACCAGCCCGCCGCTTCTGTCTCAAATCTCGCACGCTGTTAACGAGCGTATTGAAAGTAAATGGCCCCTCCTCCAGCTTCCTCTCCCTTTGACTTAGCAAAGCGCAATTTTACGAGCGTCAAGAGTCTCAAAGTGACGGCTCGCTCCTCTCAGACGCCGCTCATTGAATCGCGCGAGTCGAACGGACGGGAGTCTCTTCTCACGAGAGACGCGGGAAGACGCGTAAAAACGCACCTCCGCGATCGATCACGGACGCCGATCGGTAATCAGCGTATATTATACGGATGTAAGAAATGAATCATGCACAGATCGGCTATAAAGCGCGATTTAGCGGGCCGCTTTAACGCCGCGGAGAGAAAGAGAGCGCACATTCATAGCGGAAATTGCGATTGCCTCGCCTCCTGCGAGGCGCGGACAGGATCGTCGAACGCCGCGACTAGCGCGCGCTCTCTCTCTCTCTCTCTTCCTTCGGTTCCGAATAATTATACGTATGGGAGCTCTCTTAATTGATTCGTCACGGAGCGAGTCCCGGCACGCAGGAGAGACGCATCCCGCGGGACGTGATTGCAATTGCACGCGCGGGACGAAAGCGGACTTTTCCATGTCTCGCGCGAAGCGAGACGCGGATTCCAGGCGGATCAGACTGGACGGAAGTGCGACGGAATTTCTCCCTCCCCCACCCCCCACCCCCCTAATTTTGGGGCTCGTTCCTGCCGTCGGCGTTATTTCGACGAACAAGAGTCTGTTTACGGAGGAAATAACGTCTCGTGCACACGCGGGAGAATTTCGGGGAATGACTCGCGACGCGGGAGGATCTCCCCAGGCAGGGAGGGTTGCTGTTTCTTCTGACAAGCGTACGTGTCTCGTGCTCACCGCAGGCTCTTAGTCGGCGCTTAAATCGTGCGCGCCCTGAGAAGTGCATCGGCGTCTTCGCGGTGCCGACCACCGGCACGCGGTGGATAGAGGCTATAAAAATAACGTAACCGTGGAAAGTAACGTAACCGCCGCGCCGGCCGAGCACTTGGCACCGGCTTTTATACTCGACGCGAACTCGACGCAACGTGGCTCGTGCATCCGACCAGGGTCTGGAAGAGAGGACGGGAATCGGAAGGATGTAGGAGGATGTTGTTGTTGACCCATGGGGCAGGAACAGGTTTCGAATTCGGATTACGCCGACCCGAAAGCGCTCCGCACAAACACCGTTTGTTGGACCGAGGTATAAGCGCGCTCGCATGTGCGTGTGTGTGTGTGTGTGTGTTACGATGTGTATGCGCGCATCGACCCCCCACGCAACCTTCCCGTATAGTAAAGGTGCTCCTCCGATTCTCCTTCGTCCTTGAACCCTCCTCTCTCTCTCGCGTCCCTGCCGGCGCGCTCGCTCACGCGAGAGCGGCCACGTCTCTCTCGTCTCTCGTATATAGTACCTCCCCCGGATTCTCTCCAGCTATAATATATATATATATTCGACTCGGCCGAAGCGGGAGCAGGTAGCGGGGGGAGCCTAGATCGTAAACGCGTAATCATCCTGTTCTCGAAATAAGACGCATAAGGGAGCAGCAGGGAGGAAGAGAGACGGAGGTGAAGAAGCGGCTCTCCTCTCTCGATCGGGTCCAGTTCGAGGCGGTTCCGCTGCGCGAAGGGTTATCGTCCTTGAAGCGAGCCTTGGGACGGGACGTACTCCGTCACGGATGACAGGTCCCTTCTGCCCGCTTATCTCGCTCCTGTTTACCGACGGTAAGGAGATGGAAGGATAGCGGAGGGAGCGACCGCGGCTCTCGAGCGCGGGTTCCAATTGGGAAGCGATTTTCGGTCCGATGTGCATCGACGATAACGATATGTTTTGTCTCTCGAGGAGATCGGTCTCTTCGATTTTTCAATATTCGGGAGAGAGCTGGGCTCTCTCTCTCTCTCTCTCTCTCTCTCTCTCTCTCTCCTTCTCTCTCGTAAAACTCCTCACTACTGAGGCTGCTGTTGCTCCGCAGCGACGCGGCTTTTGCGGTGCAGCCGAGGCTTGTCCCGCGTACCCGCGGGAAATGTCTAACGGTGCAGTTCCACGTACACGCGTTAGAAATTGTTTACGATTATTACGCGTGAGATCTCCCGCGGAGCGAATGAAACTCGCAGCGACGATGATTTTTAAATTAATGAAGAACGTGCGAATGCGCCTTCTCGCTCGCGAGCGGCACCCTCTCCGAATTCTATCGAGGTTCTCGACGTCGATGAGAGAGAGAGAGAGAGAGAGAGAGAGAGAGAGAGAGAGAGAGAGAGAGGGAGAGAGGGAGAAAAGTCTATTTTTATTACCCCGAGCTGTTCATTTTTGTTGCAGCCCCAACATCTGTTCGAGAGACAAGACACGCGTCGACGTCGAGCTGGAAAGAGAGTTGAAGAGGACTCACTTCGCGTCGTCTTTTCGCGGATTATTTTGCAAATTCATCCAAATCAGCGGCACAACTTTGCTCGTCGCGTTCCCCGAACATCCCGGTGTCGTCCCCTCGCATTTTCAGCGGCGCTCCTCGAGCGATTGATGGGCGAAATAACAGAAATGTCGCGTCGCTTCCGTATTGCCAGCCTCGCTTTTTCGTTTCAACGTAACGTCAAGTGGCGCCAACTTAGCGGCGCCTGCGCGAACTTTCAAACTAGCCCCACCACCACCGCGCGCCACAGAGCCATAGTATCGCTTGAGAGGGAGAGAGAGCGAGTGACGCGCGGAGTCCCGCGAGAGCCGTCGTCCGTGTCGTACACGTCTCGTGCTCGTCGGTGTTTGGCCAGCCGTCTCGTACAATCGAAATTCAGCTTGTTTTCCTCGCGCAGAGCCTCGCCCCGTTCGCGTCGGACGACCTCCCCCGCGCTATCCTGGAGTCGCGTCGTGTGCTGCGACTCGTCGCGTCTTCCTCGAGGAACGCTCATCGCGCGTCGCGCGCGTCTGCCGTCGAGTTTAGTCGGTTAGTCCGAGGACGTTTCTATGGATATCTGACACGCGTGCTCCGTCGTTCTCATGGTGCGTCCGAGTGACTTTTGTGTGACACTCGTGTGAGCCGAGCCGACCAGGACTGGACACTCACTCGATCGTATGCCGATTCAGGACGCCGAAGTTGCTATGGAGCTGCTGCGGGATTGCTGACTCGACGTCCATTTTCCGGAGCCGGAGGGGAACGACAAAAGCGCGCCAGGTATGTGGCTAGAGTCATACTCGGTGTTTATCGTTTTCTCCCCCGCAACCTCCTCTCAACAAGGTTTAATTGAGGTTAAAGAGAACGCGCTGGTCTCGCGCGCAGTGACCCGGCGCGCCGAAGACGAGCGCCCCGCGTGGCCACTCTGGTCGAAAGTTCGAATCCATCGTACTCAACTCTTGGCAGCACTGATTGTGCCGCCAAGTCTAATAACGATAAGCTCCATCTCGAGTACGTCAATGTTTGATTCTCTTCTCACCTCCGATGCTCGTAGAGACGCAAGTTTGCTATCTTTGTCTCTACGGTACCTCCATTCTCGCGTTCGCGTTTAAGCCCCGCCGAATTCTCTCTATCGGGATTTTCAGGCTCAACGAAAGACGGCGATGATGAGGTTGTGAGAAAGGAAAGAGGGAGTTTGTTTCATATCGCCTTTGTAATTATCAAGTCCTGGTCTACGATAGGTGATTTAAGCTTTGAGCTACAAGATTTATACAAGCATTAACCAACGGCAGTCGATTATTTTCCTCACATTCAGTCGTCGAGCCTCAATCAACCATAACCATTCGGTACAATGAACAACAATCGAAAGTCAATAACAATTGTGGACAGTAGCGCAAGAATCGAGAGAATCGAAAACAACGCGGTGCGGCATTAGAGGCTGTGTGCACCGTGAATATAAAGTTCCGGTATCAATGAATTAACGCAGATTAACGCCAAGTTTCGACTTCGACCGCGCCGCCGCCGTGATTCTCCGTTTGTTTGGAAACAAGAGGCCGCGGCCCCGCGATCGTCGCGAGTAATCGCAGTCGCGAGTCAAGGTCAGGTTATTCCTCTCGGCGCGCAACTCGGTAAATCTGCGTCTACGTCGCCGATAATGCGCTTATTGGCGCATCGTTAATGTTTTTACGAGTAACCCGCCGCGACTTATAATTGCACGTTTACATTGCGAACGTGCGCGCGCGCGCGCGCTTCGCAGAGTCGAAGCTTTGCAAATGCGCGTAATCAAACGCGGCGATTTTCGCCGCGCGTATATTTTCTCGCTCGCGCCGATGACGAAATTGTTGTTATTGATTGAATCGTGTTATCGACATTCTTCGACATTATCGGGAATGCACGCGTTGACCCCGCTAATGTAGCGGACACAATGAACACATGTGTGCATCAATAATTCGTAATATTTCCGTATTGCTCGGTGTTATCGCGGATACACGGAACAACACTGATAACACACGTTTCTCCAGCGAATGCGCGCGCATTTTACGCAGCTTATCCTAACAAAAATTATCGTCGCTAATTAACTCAGTCGCGTCGCGCGTAGCGTTACGAGACGCGTATCAGCGCCTACGCTTGTCACATTTCCGCGTACGCGATTGTATCAACAATACGCGTATACGGATAATACGGGTGAGGAAGAAAAAGGAAAAAAAGAGAAAAGGAAACGAAAGGTATCGCGTGCCTGTTGCTCATCGCGCGCTTGTATTCCCTCGTCAACGGCGTTCTTGAGTAAACATTGTGGACGACGGGTTGAGCGTTTTTACATACGTCGTATCTTTCATTAGCGCTTTTTTTCCCACATCCTTCGACGTGTTGCCGTTCACGTCGCGCGAGTGCCCGGGAGTGCGCGGGATTCCGCGGCATACCGGGTGTCCGATACGGAACGCGCGGCGAAGAATCTGAGCGACGATTCTGGTACTTGATGAGCCCATCACTTCGATCTCCTTGGGTCATTTTGTTTGTGCCAGCGCATTAGATCCGTTCCGCTCCCCCCCTCCTCCCTCTCTCTCTCTCCTGTTCTCTCTGCTTCTTTCCCTCCATCTCTTTCTTCATCTTCACTTCTATTTCTTCCTCTTTCGAAACGGAGGAAGGTCGGGGCCGCCTTCGGAGCGGTACAAATCACGGACAGCGACAGAGGTCGTAATCCCGAGAGCGAATCGGTAATACGAAGGCACGCGAGAGGAGCGATATATATATTTCCACTACCGTGAGGCGTGGTGATTAGCGCGATAGTAATAATTTTAACGCGTAGTTAGGCGTACTTGATGTTGTGGTCGGACCGTGCGTGCTCGTGCGTGCTTGTAGGCCATTTTCGAGATGCACCACACGTGGTGTTTCCACACGATATACACGGGGACGACGAGAACGCTCGTCCCCGATCGTGCCGAAGCACGATCGTGTTATTCGAAGATTGAGGAACTCGGCGAGTAACGGAGACGCGGCACGTCGTGCTATCGCGGCGTGCTAAATTTTTCGAGACGTATCTCGATATCTCGCTTGTTGTTATCTTTAATATCTGGAGCAAACGAAGGGTCGTACAGATAAGAAGATAAGTCGCGCTCTTACGAAAACTGAGTTACTCCCGAGATAAATGATTTGTTTACTATTATATCGGGCGTAGGATTAATCGAACGCTGGGCTGGGTTGGGCGGATAAGCGATAAGCATCACGATAACCATCGTGACCATTGATTAAACTTTGGAACGGACATTGAATGAAGCACTTGGGAGCGATATTGAGATTTAAGAATTGCTTTACAAGAATTACACATGAATAATTCCGATATATAGGGGGTGCATCTAAACTCCACCGCTCACTCCTCATAAACATACACAGGGTAGATTCTATATAAAAAAAAAAAAAGTAAAAAGGCCTTATTAAATATATGTCCTCAAACGCTTAGTTTCTGAGATACAGCTGCCGCGATTTCAGTTTATATTTTATTCATCGTGTTTTTATTAAATCGTGTTTTACAAATATGTATTTATAGACACACACACACACGCACATACTGTTAAAGTTGTTCAAAATTTTTGCCATATCCGCAAGCTTCTCGAAAATCTAAGCATCTATAATGTCAAGGGAGAAGACGATATATTTTCCTAATTTCGCGACAAACGGTAACAATCTTATCGACGTAATTATGAATCTTAATATTCAGAAATTATCAAAATTATAGGTATCAGTATTTTATCTTCAAAAAACAGACAGGAAACATGTTTCTTAGTATTCTTAGCATTCTCATAACAATCTTCACCTGATTATCGCGATTGTCATCTGGAGGCTATGTTTAAAAAACTTTTGCGGACATATGTTTGCCAAGTGTCCTTTACTTATTTTTTAACAAAATCTGTCCTACAAGTTTGGTGGTAGGATTTAGATACATCCTATGTATATGTGTGTGTGTGTGTGTGTGTGTGTGTGTGTGTGTGTGTGTGTGTGTGTGTGTGTGTGTGTGTGTGTGTGTGTGTGTGTGTGTGTGCGTGTGTGTGTCTATATATGCATACATATATGTATATATACAGGGTGTCCTTTTGGAAACGAAAAATTGTGAAGATTAATCAGATCAAACCGAGAAGAAAGGTCAAGTATCATTTTGCAAAAATCGCAATAGTTATTAATGATTGGAAATGACCACATTCTAGAGATTCTTTTAATTGATAACTTTTAAAATAAATAAATAAATGTAAAATAAGTAAATAAAATGTAAAATAAGTAAATAAAATTAAATAAAATTTGCGTACTTATCTGGAAAACAGTAAAGGACTTTTTTGTCCAGAATGACCTAATCTACAATTATATGACGGCAACTGTGCCCAGCGACAGGTTCAAGATTCAGAGTTCAAAGTTCAATATCTAGACACTATAGCATATAGATCATATAATTGTGGATTAGATCATTCCGAACAAAAAAGTTCTTTACCATTTTAAAAATAAGTACGCAAATTTTCAATTTATCGATTAAGAGAGCTTCTAGATGTGGTCATTTTCAATCATTAATAACTTAATGACTATTGCGTTTTTTACAAAATAGTTACAAAATTGACTTTTCCTCTCAGATCTGATTAATCTTCACGGTATTTCGTTTCCAAAAGATCCCGGACACCCTATATATGTATATATGTACGTATGTATATGTATATATGTATGTATCGTGAATGAACTGGAAGCGCATTCACTTGATCGGCCGCGCACTACTTGTTGATAAAAGAGGGATATTGCATATCCAGCGCGCCGCCGATGGATCGATACGAAGAAATCGCGAGTTGTGCCTGGGGAGACGTAACTCCTCCTCGCTGCGCGACCTATAAAAATTTATATAAAAGTCTCGGGCACACACACACACACACACACACACACACACACACACACACACACACACACACACACACACACAACACGCGGTTCGCCTAGGCCATGAATAATTTATCGAAGCGCGTCCTCGTCGTCGTCTCCTGGCTTTCTGTTGCGCGAGAGGGAAAGAGAAAGGTAGAGAGAAAGACGTGTCGTGCCTTTTACGATCGGAGGCCTGGATTCGACCCCCTCCGCTCTCTCAGTTCTTCGTGCCGTTGAATAACAATAACAGACGTGGATCACGTTAATTGGCGCCGCAGATTACGGAACGTAATGTAACACGCTTGCGGACCGCGTGACACTCTGCGCGCAGCAGGCGCAATAAACTCGGCGTTATTAGCCGTAAAAGATACTTTAAACATACGCTTCGCGAAATTACGAATGAATGTCGTGAGAAGACTGCAGATATACGTGCAGTCTATAATTATACCGCGTTCATTACACACAAACCGTACCGTTCGATTGTATTTCATCCGCACTCGTCGTATTCGAGAAGGCGCAGGTAATCTTGACAATTTATGTGTCTATAATTGTGACGATCCAAGAGCGGAGCAACCGACGAAATTCTCCGAGTCGAAATGATACTCGAGTACTATTACACGAGGAAAAACAGCACCCCGCTGCCAAGACGCGCGATTGCTCAGTTTGCTTGCTTTTGTCCACGTAACAGTTGTCTCCGATAAAGAATATTTTCTTCGTAACAGTCTTGGGGGTATATTCATCGCAATTTTGGGAGAAGCTCACTTCTCCGTGTAGCAAGGAGCAAAATCTCGCGATCCCCCCTCTTCTCAAGGATGCTGCAAAATTTCTATTCCATGCAGGAAAAGCCACAGCCGACGTTTTATTTCAATTTAATATTTTTGTTCTTAGCA